TTTGCCTCGTCCCTCTTCCCTTTCTGATTTGCCTTCTCTTACAAAGTAGTAAAAAGTATTGAATTCATGAAACGTCTGCTAAATATTTTAGGCAGTGTCGACTTCTGTTGCATTAATTTGCTAAAGAAGCAAAGGTCAGACACCAAACATGTCTCAGCTGATTATGTTTGCATTATCAACATTGTGATATTCAAAATTCAGGTTTATATTGAATTCCATAAGTAATGGAAATACATTGACACATTGCCCAACACTACAGATGGAATTACGATGAAATCCATAAATATTTGGATGTTGACAAAGTTATTGTTATTTTAGCTACCACATCACAGTGGAGCTTAAATGAAATAATATGAGCTAAAAGTGTAGATGTTCAGCCTTAATTGGGTGAACAGTGTAGGAATTACAGCCATTTTCATACATAACATAATCCTTGGTTGCAAATCCTTTGCAGTCAATGAGTTCTTGAAGGCTTGGACGGACAGACATCACCAGACACTTGTTTTCTTCCCTAGCGACGCTCTGACAGGCCTTTACTGCAGCTGTCTTCAGTTCCTGCTTGTTCTTGGGGTGTTTTACTTTCAGTTTTGCCTTCAGTAAGTGAAATGCATGCTTGGTTGGATTAAGATCAGGTGACTGACTTGGCCAATGCAGAACATTGCACTTTTTTACTTTAAGAAAGTCTTTATTTATTAAGCATTTGGCTGAATCTGAGCAGGTAATATATATATATATATATATATATATATATATATATATATATATATATATATATATATATATATATATATACACACACTTCAGAATTCATTCTGCTGCTTTTGTCAGCTGTCACATCATCAGTAAATATAAGGGAAACAGTTCCATTGGCAGATATACATGCCCATGCCATAACACTACCTCCACCATGTTTGACAGATGAGGTGGTATGCTTTGCATCATGAGCATTTTGTTCTTTTCTCAATACTCTTCCCATCATTTTTGTCCAAGTTGATCTTTGTCTCATCTGTCAACAAGATGTTGTTCCAGAACTTTACAGTCTGTCTATTGCTGTTTTTTGACAAACTCTAATCTTTTTGTTTTTGAGGTTAGCCAATGGTTTACATCTTGTATATTTACTCTGGGTAAGTCTTCTCTTGATTGACTGACTTTGACAGAGATAGGCCGGCCTTATGGAGTGCATTCTTGATCTGACCAACTGTTTTGAAGGGGTTTTTCTTCACCAGGGAAAGAATTATTTTGTCATCCACTGCAGTTGTTTTCCACGGTCGTCCAGGCTTTTTGGTGTTTTCTGAGCTGACTAGGGTATTCTTTCTTTTTAAGAATGTACCATATGGTTGATTTGTCCAGACCTAATGTCTTTGCTGTCTATCTGGGTTTGTTTTGATTTTTCAGGCTAATGATGGCTTGGACAATGAATAAAAGCAGGTTCCAAATGCAAATGTCACACTTGAAAGTAACTCTACTGAAATTTCTACATTGTTTGTTCAATTTGGATGTAAATACCCTCAAATTATACCTGTAGGTCTGCACATTGAGCTCATATTCATTATTTAATTCCAACTGCAGTATGCATGGTAGAAAGCTAAAAGAACAATAACATTATTGTACAGACAAAATCACTATAAATGTAACTTTTTTCTTCTGGTTTATAGCAACTAATATGTCCACATTACCTGCTATAAAACCGAAGAAAAAAGTTGAATGTATACTAATTTTGATTCATGAACCGAGAAATTCACAACAAAAATGTTGTTCTAATACCTTTTATAGAATGGTTATTTGCATACAGTATATACTGATTAATGAGTATACAGTAAATGCATCTAAACACAATATAAAATTAACATAAAGTTTTTACATCACAGAGAGTGGCTTTAAGAGAATATGCACTTATTAATTTCACAAGAGTTCTGAATTCATTTTGTTCACATTTCGAGTGACTGAATTCAGACTACATCGAATACATAAAGCAGGAACTTCAGGGAACACTTTCAGAGGTTTTTTTAGGGATTAAGTTATAAAGGATTACTTTTTGCTGGGTATGTCGATGTATAAAACCTGTTTCAAGATAAGATTCAAGACAAACCTTTATATTGACCTTCTATAGGTGAAATAACAGGACAAAACACCTACTAAAATACTACAAATTCAAATAAAAGGCAATGAATTCTGTCATATATTAACAACACTGCTATACATTCAGGGCGCATGTAGATTTAAACATAGTAACACAAGATAAAAAATGGTAACACTCTTTTACAGGCCCTTAAGTTCTAAGTATTAACCAGGCAAGTGTGAAAAACTCCAAAATACACACATTTAAGCCACTTATCCTCTTGGATCGCAGCGGTGCTGGAGCCTATCCCAGCAGTCATAGGTCAGAAGGAAGGAAACACCCTGGACACGTTGCCAGTCCATCACAGGGCAGACACACTAACATATACATTCACACACATTCACACCTAGGGGCAAGTTAGTATTTCCAGTTCTGACTGCATGTCTTTGGACTGTGGAAGGAAACCCACGCAGACACGGGGAGAACATGAACATACAAACTCCACACAGAAAGGACCCTGATCGCCCGGCCGGGGAATCGAACCCAGCCATTTTTACTACAGTAAAAATTACTGCTGTCTTTTACAGCCCATTCAGTGTCGTTTCCAGGTAATAGACAGATGCATACTATATAAGACTGATGTCTTTTTTTCCCCATTCAACTACCTTGTACTTTTTCTAATTTACTTTCCTGCTTTAAACATGTGGTATTACACTGTAATTCAGACTGCCTGGTTACTTATTATCACTTTACCCCAAATAATTACACAGTACTTTTGAGTTTGTGCCTCAGCGCTTACCTAGTTATTATCTAGAACTTGTGTAATTTAACTCACTTGGAACTCTCCATCTTGTTACCTAAAATAATAACCTAGTACTCTGGAGTTTGTAGCACACATGTACTTAGGGACTCGAGGGACAGTAAAAGAAGGCGTTAGCCAAAACACGATGGCTTTATAGCCACTGCAGTCAGGTATGAGGTATGTGAGGTTAATGCAACAGGAAAAATATTTTATCATTTACAACAGTTATAAACAATGCTGCAATACCATAAACCTGCATTTTACCTGCCTAATTAACCAAGGTCAGTTAAAAAAAAACTAGACTGAGTTCTGAAGATATATTAGGTAGAACCTGATTGGACTGGCGCCAAGTACACATTAAAGAATGCTTAGTAATGTTTGTAATACTCCAACCTGATTACACAAGTATCCATGAACAACGTCCACACACAAAAATGTCTGTGTAAGTCATATTAGTGGGGCTGTTCGTTTGAAATGAGCTAACAATGCTCGCTTATTCATTTTACTGAAGGTTTAAATGTTCTTAAGGTTCCTCATCATAATACATACAATACGCTTTAAATGTCGAGCCAGAACCTCTAACGCAAGCTTCTTGTTGGAAACACCTTCTGCATAATTGAATAATTGAAATAATGTAATATTAGTCATTCAGAGTGGTTTGATGTGAAATGGAGCATTATATAAAAACTTACAGACCTCAGAACCAGGAGTCGTTATGTCTACAGCACAAATATAGCCATTTTATTTACTATCCAAATCCACCAGTGAACCTACATGTGTCCTCTGAGTTTTTAAATGTGATGCTGATGATAATAAAATAGTGGTAAATGTGAAAATATAAGTTTTTGTTGGGGACTATTTTGCCTCACAACACCCTATGTTTATGTCTCTGCCAAGAATGGATTAAAATAAATGGATTCAAATACATTTTAGGCCAAACCTTTATCACTATCATAAAACAATGTGTGGGCAGAAGGCAGGATACACCCTAGACAGGCCACCCGTCCATCGCAGGGCATTTTCCAAAACATACCTTTTCATTTTAAGACGAAATGCAGTTGGAAAGTGAACAATACGCTTGGAGTGAAGCACCTGACGTTCTTACACTGAATGGTTCATTTTCAAAATAATATAAGTGAAATAAATGAAGAATTTTTAAGTATTCTGAAAATTACTGTTCCTGTATTTTTTGTAAACAACAAATGTCAAAAAATTAAGAAATTGTAAATAAATAAATAAATACATAAATAAATAAATACATAATAAGGATGAAATTAAAATTTCATTTACATATTGACCAGGTTATAAGCCACTGTTGCCTGAGCTGTAAAAAAAAAATTCTGTACCTTCTGTACCACAGAGCTCTGCTCTTTGTGTTTGTCCAGTTTCACTTTTAAGTTGCATATTAATAGTTAAATACTGAACCACTATGAGGCTTTGCCTCTTGTCAGCATGGCACACTCAAACCCTACTACTGATAGGTACAGTACCGTGAAAATTTCAGAGACCACCCTTTATTTATTCAATTTCCAGTCAAAACAGCCATTAAGTAAGATTAAAACTAATTAAATTATTCATTTAAGATAATTCACTTGCATTAGGGAGGAGAAAGTGAAAGCAAAATAAGTGAAAAGACAACTGGAGTTAAAAAAATGATTAAAAGCTCCAGAGAAAATGGGACTCCTAACAACCACCTGGAAGACCTGGTAGACACCAAAACTGTCCCCATCAGATAAACGGCACTTAAAGCTTTCATCTTTGAGAGAGAGGAGAAAATCAAACTGCTTCAGATCTGAAAACATCCACAGGTGTTTCTGTCCATCCTTCCACTGTGAGAAGACAACTCAGTGCTGTGGGTCTGAAAGGATGTGTAGCTGTCAAGAAGAACCTCACTGAGAAAAGGAGACAAACACACCAAACAAAGAAGCTGAACAACGGCCTGACCACCCCAGAGTCCAGACCTCAACATCATGGAATGTGTTTGATTACTTCAGAAAATGATCAACCAACTTCTAAGACTGAACTTTGGAGGTGTGTCTGCAGATTTCTTTGAGAAACTGAAAGTGAGTCTCCTGAAAAGAATGAAAACTGTAATAAGAATGGAGCTTTTGTGTAATTTCCAGACAGATATGTGTTTTACGCTGTATTTCTTAAATGCAGACTGACTGGAAATTAAATAGATCAAAAGTGGCCACTGTCCTTTGCACAGTACTGTACATCTATATGCTTCAGTGATGCAACCATAACATGCAATACGGAAAACATCACTGTACCCACAATAAGCTGCCTCAATCCCTTATTTTGAGCGAACATCTAGACCATCTTGCCAAAAGTAATCAGTCTTCAACCTTCCGTGCCAGCCTGCAAAACGTCCAGTGGTGCTCCACCGTGTTCTCATTGGCTCTTTCGCTCATGTGATGTACACGTGTGTTCCTGATGGTGAAACCTTGCTTGGAGATGTACTCCACAAGGTGGACCCTGAGGGACACTTCTTGATGATAGTCGCAAGGTCCAAAGGTAAAAGATACCTGAAAATCTCTGGTGTCCATCATGTGTTTATTCCACCGTGTGAAGTTGTTTGAGATGCCTTCAAGCAGAGTGTGAACCTTGGTGGTGATGGTGAGTTGGGTAATGATGACAGCCACGGGGTTGGAGTATTTGGAGAGCTTTCGAGTGCTCGAGAGTTCCACCACCTGTTCGAAGGTGTCCAACGGATAGAGCGGTTTGGTGTCACTTAAGCACTGGATCAGTGGCTCTATCTGATAGAAGTCGGCCTCCTTACGCAGCAGCTCCGTCTCTTTGAAATCGTACGGCAGAGTCAGTTCTGATGTCCTTAAGAAATTCAAGATGTAGCGGAACAGTGGTCCGTCGCGGTCGATGAAGTAGTTCCCCTGGGCGTCTCTTGCTGTAGGGAAATCGCCGCGAAACATGGCGCCCAACATGGAGTCTGGGTAACGCTGCAGAGTAGACAACGAAGTGGTGTATATATGGCCTCCAACGTTCAGGGTGACCGGATCCGTCATCTACAAATAAAAACAATTATAGATGTTGGTTACAAAAAGTAATGCAGATTAGGGTGTTACAATAAACGTTTTCAGGTTTGATAAGATACTGATTTCAAGATTCAATCCGAGTTCCAATATTTTACATGGTGGTGACTCTTATCATGAAGACCAACATCTTTTTTTTTTTTTTTAAATAATAGAGTTTAATGTTAATGATCCCGGCTGCCTCCCATTGAAGGTTTACCAGGCACAACCGACTGGGACGAGACCCCCGGGTCGGAGGACTAGCTTGGAGGGATTATATCTCCAAGTTGGCCTGGGAGCAGCTTGGGATCCCCAGAATGAGGAGGAAGTTGCAGAGGACAGGGTGGTCTGGGCTTCTCTGCTTTTCCTATTGCAACTGTGACCCTAGCTTGATCAAGCGGGACTCCTTGCAACCACCTGGATCAAAGTGGGACTCCTAACAACCACCTGGAAGACCTGGTAGACACCAAAACTGCCCCCATCAGAAAAACAGCACTTAAAGCTTTCATCTTTGAGAGAGAGGAGAAAATCAAGCTGCTTCAGATCTAAAAACATCCACAGGTGTTTCTGTCCATCCTTCCACTGTGAGAAGACAACTCAGCGCTGTGGGTCTGAAAGGATGTGTAGCTGTCAAGAAGAACCTCACTGAGAAAAGGAGACGGACACATCAAACAAAGAAGCTGAACAATGGACTGACCACCCCAGAGTCCAGACCTCAACATCACTGAATGTGTTTGATTACTTCAGAAAATGATCAACCAACTTCTAATACTGGCTAACTGGATCAAGCAGTTTAAGAAGATGAGCTTAATGTTCTGCATAAACACTGTTCAAAGTGTGCCATTCACTCCCCAGTTCATACAGTCCTTATGGATCGTTGTGAACTGAACTGGTTCAAAGTCAGATTTCAAAACACATTTCCACTTTTTACTGACTTGGACTTTACAGTAAAAGCCTTTGACTGTCTCTGCCTTAATTATGTATATTTTATTAAAATATAGGATTGAACATTTCATTTTGTCACCAAAACAGTCATAACACTTTACCAAATGTTTCAGTGGTGACTGTTTCAATAGAGACAATTTTAGCTAATTTTGAGCAGAACTCAAAAATGCTAGCCACACCATGACTAACAAACACAGCTTTGAAAAGCTGTACACAAATAAAATCATAACATTTTCATTAAAACACAAAACAGTTTATTTAATTGCAGAAAATATGTGTTTCGGTAGTGACAGTTCTTAATGTTCCACACTGATATTCAGACTTTGGGACACATTCACTTCAAAACAATGGGATCTAACTGCTCGCCATGTGGCCTTGAGGGACAGGGATACAGTCTCACTTCCTGCTCTAAAATACATGGGCGTGGCTAAAATAAGGCTCCACCTGCAGACTAAAACTCTGTGTTTCGGTAGTTGCATAAAAACATGACAGCATTTTCTGAACAATGCTTTTTATGTTTTGAAATGAAACCATTCAATGTCACTTTAAAAGAAATCAAAAAGATATTTTTTTGAAAACATTGGAAAAAAGTAAAAAAAGTGATCCTTAAAAGGAAAATGTGCAAAATCAGCCCATTTTGAAGTCACTGTTTTTGTGATGTCACGAAAACCAGCACATTTGCATAAATCCTCCTACTCAGCTTACATCAGATTAGCCCTGCCCACTCACTATGAAGTTATAAGGAGAGTTTCAGCCCTTTTTAAATGAAGCACAGTACAGCACTGCCAATCAGAACAGAGGTAATTTACATATAAGGCCCACTAATAAAAACAGCCTGTTTGAATCTAAAGGTTCAGAGAGAGGTTGGAAAACAATGGTAAATTAATTATTTCTTCTGCTGGTACATAAAACCAACAGCAGAACAGGAAACCACAAAAATGTGCAGGGCAGGGGTTCCTGCATGTCCGCAGTTGGGAACCTGTGCCATAAGAGAATGACAGCTATGATTGTCTGGTAAGGAAGATGATGGAGAGCAAAGTGAACGACCTACCATGTATCCCCAGTCTCCATTCTCCATTTGCAGTGCTTTTTCGCTGCTTTCCAAATGAGGAGAAGATGAAGGGACTCTGTCTAGTCTTGCCTTTAGATGTGATAAACATCTGTAAAAGCAAAACAAACAAAGAAAAACATGAATGTGTGAGACAACACACTCTTGAAAATAAAGGTGCCAAAAGGGTTCTTTGATGCGGTGCTACAGAAGAACCAATTCCGTTGAGGGATTTTCAACAGAGTTTTTAAAGAACCACTAAAATTAGCACTCGGCCGATATGAATATTTTGTGGCCGATAACCAAGAGTGAGTTATCATAATCGGATTCTGCAGTTATTTGATTATTCAATTGGTCATGTAAACACAATACTACTATTTCTTAGATCAGAGTAAGGTCTAGAAATCTGATTAAGAAATCAGTTAAAGAGAGGTTTTAGCTCAGTAATCAGATTTCTCAGTACATGTAAACTCTTACTCTGATTTCTTTCGGATTTCTTAGCCTGCGCATGTGAGAAAACAGACTGCGGTACCAGAAATAAGTGAGCAGTGTTGCCGTGAGATGCAGCAAAACACTTTTGGAGTGATGCTGAAACTGAATACATGCTTAATAAAATTAAGGATTTAAATATTTTTTTGCTTCTAGATGATGTTTGTTCATATTTTCAGGTAAAGTGGCGCAATGTTTTTAATGAAACGCTGCAGCATGAAGTTTAAGTTTTATGTTACGTTTACTGGCTTAAAGTTTATTGGCTGGTTGCAAAGCAGAAATACGATAACTGACTAACTCATGTAAACTCAGAGTTTCCTATTATCTGATTACCCAAGCACATGTAAACATGCTTATCGGATTACTGACAAAATCTGATTTTCTGCAGTTATCGGATTATAAAGTGCATGTAAACGCACTCACTATTGGGTGATATTGTTTTGTATTTGTTTGATTTAAATGTTCTACTCCAATAGTTTTCATAGTTAAACAGTGCTGTACTGACTGTCAGTTCTCAACTGCAGCACTTCTTAAACTCAAATAAACAGCACTTACAGTCTTACAAATACCGCAGCACTGAGGGTGCAGCTACCCATAATGCACAGACGTGTTCAGTGTGATTCTGCTTTTCACAGATCTGTGTGTGTTTATGGAACAAAGATCTGATGCAAGTTCACTCTGGAAATCATTCAATCTGACCTTATTAATGTCAACCTAACCTTGTTAAAACAAGATGATGAATGTGTAAAATAGTGCTGCTTACAAGACCTGAACAACATGCACTCACTTACACTTGTCCATATTTCTCCTTAAAAGGGGAATTCCACCGATTTTTCAAAGTTCTTGCGTAATTCTGTCGATGTGATGTATATAAAGTCATTCAGAGTGGTTTGGTGTGAAATGGTTCATCATAGAGAAACTTGGAGACTTTAATTTCTTACAGTGGTGGTGATGGGAACCAGGGGTCACCATGACTACAACACAAATACAGACATTTTATTGACTATCCAAAACCACGAGTGATCCTACACTCTCAGACATAAAGGTATTGAACTGTCACTGGGGCAGTTCCCCTCTTGTCACTGGGGTGGTTCCCGCAAGGGTACATCTCAGTACCTTTAGTCAGGGAACATAACTGCACCATAATCCATTGAAATGATATTTTCTAAGTTGTACTGACTCCACACACCCCGTCTCATCTCCAGACTTTTTATTTTACTGTTCTGTTTTAAAACATTCGGTTATGAAAAGGTAGAAATATGTACTTTTCACCTGGAAAAACTTATTTAAGGTTTACAACTGGACCTTAAAAGCACTGTTGTACCTTTGAGGGAATATTTACATTGTTTTTACCTTGATGAACAAAAAATGTACCTGCACAGAACCTTTGATGATGGTAAAACTGTAAAATATGAGAAAAAAATGTTTTCTTTAGGGACTACTTTGCCTCACAACGCCCTGCATGCACGTCTGGTTCCTATCACCACCACTGTGAACAATTCTGACTCAGCAACTTTCTCTAGGACGGAGCATTTCACACCAAACCACTCTGAACGACTTTGTTTACATCTCATTTAATTACGTTGAAATTTTGGGTGGAGTTTTCCTTTAACGCAATAAGTACGTATTGGCATAAATGGTCACTTCAACAAAAGCGACAGCTGACACGAAGCCCTACTAGATACCGATGTACTATCACCTGTATACCAACCGCTCACCAGCCTCTAATGGGATTTTCCGTTCCACCTTAAATGCCGTAGCAGTTAAGACTGTGGCACCTGAGGCTGCACTGCAACCGCTGCACCATTTAAGGTGGAACGGAAAATTGGAATAAGAAGCCAACTTTAGCCCACATAATGATGGACGGACCCAACCATCCCAAAGACCTCCTCCCACGACGGATGTGGATCCTTTCCGAAGACGATGCAGCAAAACGCTTATCGTTAACAAAAGATCCGCGAGTTATTTCCTCCGTCTGAGTCACAAACATGAGGCAGCCCAGCATGTTCTGGTACCGAGTTAAGCTGATCTGAGCTCCATGGCGGGTCACTGCATATCTGCCCGCGCGACAGTCAGCCTGTATATTCAGTACTCAGTATACAGATCACAGAAAATTGACAGAAATGCTGACCTGTTCTGGCTTGACTGGGTGAAAACCGTCCACTCACCGCAGACCGAACTGAACAGCGGTCCGTTTGGGTCGAGCTGGAGCTCCGCCTAAGCCCCTCCCCCAACAGTGTAGGGCCGCAGCAGCCACGCCCACGGCTCTTTCAGACACGCATGCGCAGACGCGAATACCTCCACGTTTGTTTGGATAGTCGTTAGTCAGCTCTTAAAGGGCCAGAAACACAGAAAACAACATTTACCTCACTATATTAGAAATTAGATAGACATGTTCTGTAAAGATTGTTCAAGTTTTCCAGAATATATGGTTCATATATGGAATTTAATTTTGAAAAAAAAAAGTTTTGAAATCATTATTAAGTCACAAAAAAACAACATGTTTACATGCAGTTGTATGCAAAAGTTTGGGCGCCCCTGGTCAGATTACTTTTTTTGTGTGTTTCCGATTGAAAAAGTATTAAGTATTTAATATTAAGTATTTCAGAGTGGAGGAGCCTGAGAGTGGAGGAGCCTGAGAGCGGAGGAGCCTGAGAGCAGAGGGCCTGAGAGTGGAGGAGCCTAAAAGTGGAGGGGCCTCAGAGTGGAGAGGCCTGAGAAAAGAGGAGCCTGAAAGTGCAGAGGCCTGAAAGTGGAGGGGCCTCAATGTAGAGGAGCCTCATTGTGGAGGGGCCTGAGAGTGGAGGAGCCTGAGAGTGGAGGAGCCTGAGAGCGGAGGAGCCTGAGAGCAGAGGGCCTGAGAGTGGAGGAGCCTAAAAGTGGAGGGGCCTCAGAGTGGAGAGGCCTGAGAAAAGAGGAGCCTGAAAGTGCAGAGGCCTGAAAGTGGAGGGGCCTCAATGTAGAGGAGCCTCATTGTGGAGGGGCCTGAGAGTGGAGGAGCCTGAGAGTTGAGGTGCCTGAGAGTGGAGGAGCCTGAGAGAAGAGGGCCTCAGAGTGGAGGAGCCTCATAGTGGAGGGGCCTGAAAGTGGAGGGACCTGAGAGTGGAGTGGCCTGAGAGTGGAGGAGCCTGAGAGTAGAGGGGCCTGAGAGTGGAGGGCCTGAGAGAAGAGGGCCTCAGAGTGGAGGAGCCTGAGAGAGGAGGAGCCTGAGAGTGGAGAGGTCTGAGAGTGGAGGGGCCTGAGAGAAGAGGGCCTTAGAGTGGAGAAGCCTCAGAGTGGAGGAGCCTGAGAGAGGAAGATCCTGAGAGAGGAGGAGCCTGAGAGTGGAGAGGCCTGAGAGTGGAGGGGCCTGAGAGAAGAGGGCCTGAGAGTGGAGGGGCCTGAGAGTGGAGGAGCCTGAGAGTGGAGGGGCCTGAGAGTGGAGGAGCCTGAGAGTGGAGGGGCCTGAGAGAGGAGGAGCCTGAGAGTGGAGTAGTCTGAGAGTGGAGGAGCCTGAAAGAAGAGGGCCTGAGAGTGGAGGGGCCTCAGAGTGGAGAGGCCTGAGAGAGGAGGAGCCTGAAAGTGGAGAGGCCTGAAAGTGGAGGGGCCTGAGAGTGGAGGGGCCTCAATGTAGAGGAGCCTCATTGTGGAGGGGCCTGAGAGTGGAGGAGCCTGAGAGTTGAGGGGCCTGAGAGTGGAGGGGCCTGAGAGCAGAGGGCCTGATGGTGGAGAAGCCTCAGAGTGGAGGAACCTGAGAGAGGAGGATCCTGAGAGAGGAGGAGCCTGAGAGTGGAGAGGCCTGAGAGTGGAGGGGCCTGAGAGAAGAGGGCCTGAGAGTGGAGGGGCCTGAGAGTGGAGGAGCCTGAGAGTGGAGGAGCCTGAGAGTGGAGGAGCCTGAGAGTGGAGGGAGCCTGAAAGAAGAGGAGCCTGAGAGGGGAGGGCTCAGTGGAGAGCCTGAGAGTGGAGGAGCCTGAAAGAGAGAGGCCTGAAAGTGGAGGGGCCTCAGAGTGGAGAGGCCTCATGAGAGGAGCAGGAGGGCCTGAAAGTGGAGAGGCCTGAAAGTGGAGGGGCCTGAGAGTGGAGGGGCTGGAGGGGCCTCAATGTAGAGGAGCCTCATTGTGGAGGGGCCTGAGAGTGGAGGAGCCTGAGAGTTGAGGGGCCTGAGAGTGGAGTGGCCTGAGAGTGGAGGAGCCTGAGAGTGGAGGGCCTGAGAGAAGAGGGCCTCAGAGTGGAGGAGCCTGAGAGAGGAGGAGCCTGAGAGTGGAGAGGTCTGAGAGTGGAGGGGCCTGAGAGAAGAGGGCCTTAGAGTGGAGAAGCCTCAGAGTGGAGGAGCCTGAGAGAGGAGGATCCTGAGAGAGGAGGAGCCTGAGAGTGGAGAGGACTGAGAGTGGAGGTGCCTGAGAGAAGAGGGCCTGATGGTGGAGAAGCCTCAGAGTGGAGGAACCTGAGAGAGGAGGATCCTGAGAGAGGAGGAGCCTGAGAGTGGAGAGGCCTGAGAGTGGAGAGGCCTGAGAGTGGAGGGGCCTGAGAGAAGAGGGCCTGAGAGTGGAGGGGCCTGAGAGTGGAGGAGCCTGAGAGTGGAGGGGCCTGAGAGTGGAGTAGTCTGAGAGTGGAGGAGCCTGAGAGAAGAGGGCCTGAGAGTGGAGGGGCCTCAGAGTGGAGAGGCCTGAGAGAGGAGGAGCCTGAAAGTGGAGAGGCCTGAAAGTGGAGGGGCCTGAGAGTGGAGGAGCCTGAGAGAAGAGGGCCTGAGAGTGGAGGGGCCTGAGAGTGGAGGGGCCTGAGAGTGGAGGAGCCTGAGAGTGGAGGAGCCTGAGAGTGGAGGAGTCACAGAGGGGATTTTCCACTGGAATGAATGGCTGAATGATTAAAAAATGGTTGTGCAAACGTGTGAGCATCTCTTTAATGTCACCATGATACAAGTACACTAGCAATACCACAACCTTGTTGAACAACATAGCAACCACCTAGCAATACCTTAGCAATCACCTCCAAAACCATAACAACAATATAGCAACACTCCAGTAACCACCAACAATACCATAGCAACCCCCTAGCAACCACCTCTAATACCAAAGCAACTGCTTAGCTTAGCAACCACCCAAAATACCTTAGCAACCATGTAGCTATACTTGGAACTGCTTAAGCTGCATTCTGTATTTCCTTCAGAAAATGTGCTTTTCTAGGTTTATAACATTTTATGCCAACTTCTATATTCATAAATGTAAGTATTCAAATCAAGTATTATAGTGGTATTTATAAATGAAGACAACCTCAATCAACCTTTGTATTTAAGGGATAAGAAAGATGTCAAAACTCGATTACTATGCAGACTTTGCAACATGTATTGTACTTTTCTGTATTGTGATGCTTGCCTGTATTTTATGTCTATGTATGTTTTTGTGTAATTCATTAGAAAAATAAACCAGCCAATTAGAAGCTGAATTAAACAAAGCCAGCTTTAGCTGCTTGTTTTCAGTATATTTTTGCGAGACTTCTCAGGACAGTGGTTCAGTCACTGATTCACATGCTTGCTCCCAGTTGTTGGATAATGCATGCTCTCAAGTTTTAAAAGATGTTAAGGCTACTGTGTCCTGATTGGTTGGCAAGGTAATCAGGTAATCAGGCGCTATGACGTCATTCACTGCTCAGGACGTCATTACTCCACTACATCTTTGCATAGAAAATTGTTGTTTGCCGTTATATTAATGTTTGAAATATTGAGTGTAGAACATTTAAAAAGTGTTCTCAACTGAATGGAGATGAGAAAATTCGCAAACACTTTTTAACATTAGGGGTGGGATAAAATATCGATATGGCAATATATCGTCTCGCTTTCTTTTGCGATGTTATCGATACACTGGCACCAAATATCGATTTATTTATTGAAACATGCGTGTGCTGTAATCGCTCTAAACAGACTCTCCCTCCAATTTAATCTACCAGATTCTTACTTCATGACTCCACAGGGTGGCGCTAAGGTGCTAATCAAATGAATAGGCTAAAACTGCAATGAAAAAGAAACTCACAGGGCAGAAATGGTGGACCATGGGGGGGACAAATCAGACAGGCGTCCTCTTTCAAGTCGAAGGTCCGGGCCCACTTTGGCTTTTACGGCATTAAAGGTACAAATAAAACAGACAAAGATTCCGATCTTGTTAAAGTATACAGGCAACACAACAAACATGCATAGCCACCTTCTTCATCATCATCCTGATCTGGTTGTTAAGAAAACAGCTAACGTTGCCACAGCTCGAAGTCAGATCATCACTGAGAGGCATATTTTAGTCATATTTTTATGAGGTATCAGATGAAATACACGAATCACTTTCATACTTCCCCCCCCTCAGAAATCTCTGGATGCACTACTTTCAGTCTAATCTCTCTCATCTACGCAGAGGAGCAAGTAGTCAATTATTCATTCTCTGTGCATATTAGCTGAGGTTTTGCTCTTGCACAGTTAAAAGGGGCATCCTGTCCTTAAACTAGCATTACATGTTATTTGTTATGTTATTGTTGTGATGTAAAGTGACTCCAGTCACCCACACCAGTCTATTTGTTAAACAAATCACTTTATCTGTAAGTCTTACATATCATTTACGTCTAGCAAGTATTCTATCTCAAGATTTCAAAGAAGACTTCAGATGCTGGGTTCAGTTGGAGAAAAAAGGCTTTAATTTTTATTACAGGCAAAGTGCATTCAGCCTGGGCATTAGGCTCTTGACCAGGGGTCAGCAACATGTGGCTCTTTTACTGTCCTGTTGCGGCTCCACAACAGAATTAGATTTCTAGATAAAAATAAAATAATCCTCCTTTGCAGTAAAATAAAGCCCTGCTGCTGCTCGTTCAACACAGGTTTAACAATAAATGGTCTTAAGCGCTGGAGTTAATGTAGAACTGCTAATTCAGCCTTTAACCCTGAAGATTGGCGCGCAGACTGCTGGCCACCATAGCAACGGAGACAACAATGTCGCCTAGCTAGTAGCTAATGAAAAGATTTAAGATGAACATCGATAATTTGGAGACAAATAGACTTATTTGCATTTATAATCACTCCAGCTGGTTTCCTGACACGTTTAATCTGCAATGAGAAACTGAACACTAAACACTGAAAATTTGAAGATGAAATCAGCTTCTTGTTCGAATTCTCCCGTTGTACTCATTTAAGGTGGAACGGGGAAAATTCAACCAAGATGAGAAGCTGACTTCAGCCTCGTAAAAAGTCGAATGTTAGAAAATATTTTACGAGAAGCTAT